TAAAACATTACCAATAAACATTAATAATAAACATTATTACTAAAGAAATAAAATTCCATTGATTGGCATCATTCTTAATTACATAGTTATAAAATCAAACATATCACTGCAAAAATTATACTATGTGCCATTGATAGAATGCATAGTAATAATTTCTGAATATTGTTAAGATAATATTTTTCGTTGGTCATTCTAACAATTTATTGTATCTCCTTTTATAATGATTATATCTGATTTTTACGTTGACACTTTTAGTATAAGTATTAAATAGAAAATAAAATACCAATATTAAAAAATTACATTGAATTAAAATCAAATAAGATTGTTTTTAAAATATTAAATTTAGTATATTAATGAATATTATAGGTGGATTTATTTTAATAATAATTGACAGAGATATTTTCCAATGCTGATTTAATAAAATATTCATTATTAACATATGGCATCAATTAGACAATGTATTTTAAAATATTTCGTTTATAATTGTATTTTGCTTTTCAATACCAAAATGACTTAGTAATTTTTCATCTGTAGAAACTAGAAATTAAATTGTAATCTATCTAGTCAATATTTCAAAATAACGATATTTTATTGTTTATTAAATGGCGTTATTTTCTGTAAAAAGTTCAATTTTCTAATCCTTATGTAGAGCAACATGCAATAATTTATGTTATCACAAAATTACATATTAATAAAACGAAAAAATTGTGAAAATACAAATGTTTACCATTGTAAATAAACTAATGAGATCATTTTCAATGTTACAATATAATTTTATATTATTATATATTATATATAATTATATATTATAATATTATATCGCAAAGGACATTCATTTTTTATTATAATTAAAATTGAAAAAAATTAATTGAAGTAAAAAGTCGCTTAATGGAATTTAGAATCTTTCAGACATCAGCCTATTTCTATTCAAATGCGATGTACTTTACAGAGAAATATTTATTTAAAATGCATTTAAAGGCTCTATTGATAATACTGATTTGCACCGACATCGAGCATTATTTGATATCAAAAAATTTATTAGTAAAATCTTCGTTCCAAAAGTGTTACTAGATTATGCAATCAACCGGCGGTAATTCGATTGCCGCCGTTGAACTGATGTATTAACATATCAGTAAGGCGTATATAAATTATATAGAAAAGATGCGAATATTATAAATTACTCGAATAACCTAAACAAGAAAAGAGAAGTGACTGATTATACGAAATTGGTCGCATATTAATGATAGCGTGTAATGTAAAATTAGTAAATTATTGAGTTGAATGGAAATGAGAAGTGCAAATTTTTACGAATACTAGCTGAAAATCACTACAGCTATTATTATTTTTAAATCCATTGTGATTAGTACTTATCAATTATCATAGTTATTATTGCTATGAAAAATTTTGACTATCGAAACAATGGCCAAACATGTATGATAATTTTCATTGTAAAAACAAGTCGGACATTCAATTTATTTCTTCGTACATGTGTCATCAGACTTACTGATGTTTATTTTTCTTATATTTTTTTCAATTAATCAAAAAAAATATCATGTTAAATGAAAAAAGTCTTTGATTTTTAATTTATTTCGATCCAAGATCTAAATAAGCGTTAAACAACCAATTTGATTTTTAACTCGAATTTTTAATTTTTTTTTATTTTTTTTTTTTTTAATTGTAAAAAATAGTACTATAAGTTTTAAAAATTAACTTTAATGTTGAATTGAATTAATAAGGTATTCGTAGGACCGTTTTGAAATAATAATGAATTTGAAAATGTATTCAAAATAAGTGCACCTCACTTTTTAATAATGCAGTATAAAGCATATGTTAGTGCAATAAACGTAGTGTACTATGATATTGTCATATTCGAGGTATAAATAAAATAAGTATTTATTAAAGTCAGCATTAAAAACCATGTAGTTATGCCTTTTATTATGCTATGCCAATGTGCATGCATTACTATTTTCAATATATAATATGCTAGTGACTTTAACAAAGCCATTAATTTTATACGTCATATTTATTATCATTGTTGGCCCATGCTGTCTTTAAATGATTATATTAAGATCAAGTGTATTGTAAAAAATCATAGCCTTTTATAGAATAAACCTCGATATATATTATTTAAAATCTATCTATCCTTTTTAATATGAGATTGACGTATTTAGCATGTCGAGCCAAATATGTCAAACCTTTTAATCAAATAATGCAAAATGGCTTCCTGTCTATAACTCTCATGTCTATGACAAAAAATCTACATTCTCTAATAATTATTTTTAATATATTATGGAATTATTTCCAATAATCTTATATATTCAAAACTTAATATAAACTAGTTTTTAAATTTCTCAATTAAATAATAAACTTTTAAATCAACAAAATCTTAAAAGCACAAAATATCAATTTGAAATATCTTTTAAAATCATTAATAATTTTTTATTAAATTGCAAATGTAAAGGAATACTAATTTAAAAAATATCAATTATTTGATTTTTGTACAGAAAAAATCTTGAAAAAAAAATGAAATACGTATAAACAATTTTTGAGTAACAACAGAAAATCTAATAAATGTTCATAAGGAGTAAATTACATTATATATAGGGAAAAAAGGCTATAAACTTCTTAAATTAAATTACAGTGATTACTTTTAAATCAAGGTAATTTATATTTGTACATAATATACCATACATTATAACAAGAAAAATACTGAATCAAATAGACGCTGCAGTCTATTACGACTTTTTACAGTGAACTACTCGACTCCAAAAAATTCGAATATAGAATTATTTGAAGGGCATACATTGTGAAGGTCGCGGCATAGATACAAATAACACCGCGGAATTGACACAAACTATGAGGACAGTGACTCTTTACATTCTCGTTTCTAATTTATTCACGCTTTCTTTTAAAATTAATTCTAACATGTCAATACAAGTCTTAAAGATAATTGTGATACTGAGTAATTGTTAATCGACATTGGCTTGTCACTACAACTAGTTATACAAAAAATTAACGTCATTGAATTTTCAAAAAACTGAAAATTTATATATATATATATATATATATATATATATCAGCTACGATTAGCTTCTTACGTTTTATTGTCAAACACTATTTTTATCAATTACCTCATTATAGTAGAATACTAAAAACCATGTATTGTACATTTATACGAAACTTTTTTTCTAGGTAACATCAAAAGCCTCAAAATATGTATTTTACTTTCTAATGCGTAAAATTATTCGTTTCGATCAATTTAGAAAATTCTTTATTAACGTTAATGATTACAAAATTCTTTTACCGAATTAGAGCATATTTATATGATTTACGAAAACATGTTGATTTAAAAAATATTTATTTTTATGTAAATGAAACAATCGATTTCAATAATAAAAAATAATAAAAAATAAAAAAATGTCATTTTTAATAAAAAGTCCTTTCATTGACATTTTGACAATTTTTCTTATTGAAATAGTTATTATATTTAACAACTTCATAACACCAAATATCTAAAATACAAACTCAATTTAAATAATAATATATTTTGCCAATTATTTTAGAAAATTAAAATTATTGATCGAGACGATTAATTTCAAGGTTTTAATTCATTTATGTTTAATTTTATATTTAATTCCAAGGAAATTACTAAAAATTCATTTCCAAATTTTGCATAACCAAAAAACCTAAATTTTCTCATATTAAATTAATTATGTAATATATAATTTTTTTATTTTCATTTCCATTTCAAGAATAAGGCAAATAGCATTTTCGTAAGGCATATTATAAAGTGTGGCACTTTCATTAATACAAACTAAAATGTTTGTATACTTAATTTTTCCCAGGCACATTAATTGGGCTTTTTGTGTTCATGATTTGTTTCACTAATTGTATGACACTAATTTAGCTTAACCTTGTATCGAAAAAGCAACATAGAATCTACAAATGTTTGTTGCAACAACAAAAAAAAAAGATTTTGTTGGATAATTTGTATAACTGTTAAAATAATTTAAATATTTATTTCTGCATTTAATATTTATATATATATAGCATAAAATTTTTGTCCAACCTAAATTCTAGATTTGTAAACTTATCACATATACTCCAATTTGAAGTATGAACTGTGCCTTAATACTCTAAATTTAACATAAAAAATATTCGCATATCAACATTAATCCATTACAATTGAATTAAAATTATAATTCATAATCTTGTTTTTACTCTCATAATACTAACGATAAAATCAACAACAAGATTATGCAAGTAAAAAGATTAACGCAATTTTAATAATTATAGCTAATAAAAATCGCAAATAAATCAACAAAACGAGCTTATTAAGTATGTAATACTAAGAAAATTGTTTTACGCGCTAAATAATTTTTAGCTTAATATACATTGGAACATGAGGGGTGTAAGGTGAGAGTGAGTTAGAATATTTCTGAATTAAAAGTAACCTCACATTAACATAAAGTAAATCATCGGCCCAGAAAAAGATAAATAGATTAGCGTTGAAAATCAGCGTTGAAGTTCGATTACCAAACCACTTCTCTATTAGGGTCGATCGTTTTTCTGCAGTTAATGAAACAATAAAATTACATTGGATCTCGCATATCTATGATTTCATAAATATATGCTATATAATATACAGACTTTTACATTTCTAAAATAAATAATCTATCACAAAATGTTGATCTAGTCGTATATTCCAGCAGTGGGCATTCGTAATAATTTGAACGAAATTCTCACCGGGACATCGTCGACAGAACTGACATATTCTGTCTATGGCAATAAACCAAATTTATCGTTTAATTTAACTATTTACAAATATACTTCCAATGTTGTGTTTACAGTAAAAAAAAAAAATATATATATATATATAAACATTAAAATCGCAATGCATGTGACATTTGTTCGACTCATATAAATATGGCGAGCTGCAAGTTATAAGTTGTTTGAAGTCGAAACAATGTTTTATTTTGCAAAATCGAACTTGGCTATATGCAAGGTTATCTGTTTCTCATCTAAAATCTAGAAATTCTAAGAAAGAGAACAAGCCGTTCTATTACGAGCCATATATCCATTGTTATTGAACATTGCATGTAAATTGTGCCCTCTTTTTAAATAGTAAGGAAACACTTGTTAGGCACATGCTTATCAGATGATAGCAAAATATTACAGTATGATCGAATGGTTTTTGAAGAGTTTAGCAAAGAGATAACGTCGGTGGTTTGCTTCGGTCGTTATTTCCATCAAAAGCGAAAACAATAAGAATACTGTTCAAACAATTTGTATTTTAGTGAGTGCCTTGGCCTGTTCGTTTACGAACGTTTCGTCGGTCTCTGGTTGTACGGCCACTTCGTATTGGCGATGTAATTGACTATAATCATGTCGCTCGTGGTTCGTATAACCAAGCAATGGATCGTCACCCTCCACTTTTCCCGTATCTTCCTCGTTGCTTACAACACACGTTACGACTTCTGAAAATCGAAGACAATCCATCGTTATGAAATGCACTCAAGCTCCCTTTAAGTAATAAACCTCAGCACACCCAATCTTACATAATCTCACATACAGTTGAATACACGCGCGCGCTCGCACGCACGCACACGCACACACACACACACACACACGCGCGCGCGCGCGATAGATGGAATTAAAACTATTATCAGCATATTGAGAATGGTGGCGTTGGTTCATTAAAATTTTCTATTGATACTCTCATTGCGAAATAATAAATATCGGATAAATGTAATTACAAGGACCATGGCAATTAAAAGTATATCTATTATCGCCTATGTCAAGTACACAATTTGAAGAAAAGTATATATTATATATTACCATATTATATTTATAAAGGGGTCATTTTTCATTAAGTATTGTTCAAGGCATACAATTTTACTAAAAGTCATTAAGAGGAAATTATTAAGAATGAATGCGAGTGAATGCAAATGAATGCAAATAGCATTCTCAATGATTAAAGAGAAAAAGCCTTCTGACGTACATCAATAAACGTATACAAAAATAACAGGTGTTGATACCTGGTAAGCATAGCTGTAGTTGATCATTACTAGGATTCGTGCTGTCACCAGTACCACTGTCTTTGCTATGCTGCGAGCTTGTGTCCAGGTATAAATGCGTCTCCAGCTCCGGTGACGTAGTAGGGATAATCGTTGGTGACTGTTTGCTGGCGTTCTGAGAGGCGTGTAAACGCCTCCGCGTCTGATAAATAATCACGACCCAAACGATTGACGTTCCAACGGCGCAACATACCACCGTGATTATTATTAGCCCCAACATGTCGTCCTCATTTACCATAGAACTTGGTGCTTAACAAAAATGCGCACCATTAATAATATCTCCTTTATTGACAAGTAAAATATAACCCTTTACCTTTCACTACCATTAAGAAATAAATTTATTGTATTAATTTTGATGGGTCGTTGATTTTGTGACAAAGGTATTTTAATAAGATAACTGGCCGTGTAAAATTTTCAATTAATAATGGCCAAAAGATTTAGAGTATTTCAAGTGACGACCAACGTTTTTGTTTACCCTAGCTCTATAATTTTGTATTTAATAATTAAATTTCTTTATATTAAAAAATGCTCGTGTATCGTATGCGCCAAGAATTATAGATATTTAATTCAAAGTACAACACACAGATTTTAGATTTATTCAATGAATGATGAAAGCAAGATCTTGAATAACCCATGCATCTCTATTTTGTAATATTCTTTATTTATTTTTATAAAAGTAATAATAATATTGAGAACATATATCAATTCGTACGTCTGCTTATGAATTAACTTTAAAGTAACTACAGGAGTCATAAATTGACTCTAATTAATACGTAATTACATGAAATTTATACTTTTGCATTAGTCGCAAGAATGAATAGTATCGTTGTTAAGTAATTTATAATTAAATAACGGGCTATATCGTTAGCTCCACAATTAAGTTAAAATAATACTCTTAACATACGATTCTCAATATTTATCATTATATCATCAACAAGATTCACAATATATATCCCCATAATGCAGATAGAATACAATATATTGATATACAAGTCAATAAAATTTTACCAGCTTTGATGGTGAGTAGTGATGCTCCCATTACACTTCCCAAGGAATTACTCATTTCACACTCATAACTGCCAGCGTCACTTGGTACGGTATTAACGATAATCAGCAGCTGATTTTCCGCAGTGAAGAAATGTCTCTCGGTCGCTTGCAACGGGCTGCTGTTCTTACGCCAGGATAATTGCGGTCTAGGCGAACCACTGGCCATACACTCCATAACTATTGAGCCACCAGCAATGACTTCCTTATTTTCCATTGGTTTGACAAACGATGGCGTTTCTACAATTCAAACAATTGAATATTGAACATACATCTATTGGCACATACATATATTTATATTTAAAATTTTAAATGATGTACCCGTTTTCGTTATTATGAAACATGACAATTATTTTTAATTTAATTTTGTTACAATCACAATTTATACATCCTATAAAATTGCCTACATTTGACATACTTTATTAAACTAAAAATTCGCTGGAACGGATTCACTTAAAAGTTATTGCGGCTGTCGTCGTATACGTGTAACTCGAATCCATTGCCTAAACTTACCCAAAATAGTGAGAGTGGCATTGGCAATTATGATTCCAGCGAGATTCTGCGCAGTGCAAGAATAGACGCCACTATCTGCAGTTTTAACGTCAATTATGAAAAGAACGTCGTCTGTTGGCATTTTATGCATTCGGCGTTCACGCGCCGCGGGAAAATCGTTCCCACCGTCCTTTTGCCAAGCGATCTGCGGCGAAGGTAAACCTTCCGCGGAACACTCAAGCCGTGCGGTACTGCCCGCCGTAACTCGGATGTCGTGTGGCATCTTGGAGAACGAAGGATAGACTGAAAGAAGAAATTCAATGCGTATTTAACATTCGCAACTGGATAAGTAGCTAAATTTGGATTAGAAGATTCCCGTGTTTGTTAATTAGTACCCTGACATTTACTAGCTTAAAAAGTCCATGATTTTAATAAGCTTGGCAACTGCATTTTGGCGATTCTTTGTATTGATCAATATCAAATAAAATTACAGTCCTTTTTTGTGATATATGAAATAATGCATAATAATAAGAATGAAATAATCCAAGCTGCTCATTTTATTCAATTTATCCCATTTATTATATTACTAAACAATATAAAAAGTATATTACAATATTAATCTCGAATGTACTTGCTATTGATTTATAAAAATCCATATACAAGCCACATAAGCTTTTCTTAAAGTCAGAAATAAATGAATATCATCGATGAATTCGAATATCTAAATGTATTTATAAATACCACATGCAAATATGTCGTATTAAGTTGCAATAGTTAAAGGACTTTGTCAACCTTATCGTTAATCGGTTAATGTGTAAGCGTTTCTTATAATAATATTATGATGTACAGATGAATTTATGCAATTATTTTTAAATGATACATAATATCATATTATTTAAATCTCGTAACTTAGAATGTGAATAATAGATTCGTATAAATTTACAGGAAGAAACTTTGTATATAAATAAAGGATGACAACTCACTGAGAACACTAATTTTTGCTTTAGCCGAATACGTTGTTCCGTAATTGTTAGAGACCATGCACTGGTATCTCCCTGCGTGAGCGTTTGTAACGTTGGTTAATTGTAGAACGGATGCAGCAAGGGTAATGCCACCGGTTGAAGTCGGCTCGCTGTCACTCTGCAATGATCGGTCCCTAATTTCGACATTATCATGCTTCCAGGTAAAACTGAGCGGTGCGTCGGCGGTACTTGTCGCTCGGCACTTGAGCGCCACTTTATCACCTTTAATGCTCATCTGACTCAATGGTTCCTCCACGATCCGCGGTTTTGGAAATTCATCTAAGAGAAAAATTGTCTTTTGAACTGAATATCGTTAACATTTAGGTGAACAATCAATTGTTTTAATTAAAGGTATCGTTCGTTATCTGTTAATGCTACACCACGTTTATTTATTTATTTATTTTATTTTCACATTTTATTCAAATTCATTTTATACCTGTATATTCTAAGATGTAATTTTATAAGCCTACAACATTTTTTTGAAAAATTTTCTGTTGTATTGAAGTAAGCAATCATATAATATTAATATTTGAATTCGAAATTAAAAATTTTTGGTTAAATGTTTTGCTTTTACGTGTTATGTAACGATTATCAAAAGTATAATACCTGTTTCATTTCTTCTTAATTATTGTATCTCAATTGTAATTAATAATTAATCATTTTAATTAATAATTAATCATTTTAATTAATAATTTACTTAATACGAAATAATTTTAGATATATGAATAAAGAATTGTGTACAATAAAAAAAAATGTTCAAAACATACTTTCTATACCGTTAGAAAAATCTTGAACAATTCGTTTTTAAATTTGCAAATTATTAATAATTACCACATGTAAAATTAGCGTCATGCAGTTGCGTCAGTGGCATTCCACGTAACCAATGTGGATAGCCACACTGAACCCTCGTTTCACTGTATCTATTTGTACGTAGCCAAACGCTAAGCCACTGCAATCCACAATCACAAAACAAAGCACCTATAAATTAAATTTAATAAAATATTGATTTTTAATAGAAATTTATAATTCTCGTTTGAAAGTTATTTTTAAAAATGCGTACTCGTATTCATTTTTAAAGTTTTTAGCGCTAGTGACATCGAAGAGAATGCATTTTCTTGGATACTTGTCACGTTGTTTCCAGTCAAATCAAGTTCTGTAACCTGTGATAAGCCATTGAATGCATTCTTGTTGATAGATTTTATCTGATTGTGAGCAATTGTTAATTTTTGAAGTTGATTTAGAGGTACAAATATTCCAGTAGCATCCTCCACAAATAGCGATATCTTATTCGAGCTCAACTCTCTATAATAAATATTATATATTATTTCTAACGATAAAATAGATTGTACAAATAAAAAGGATTATATATTTTGAACGGCTATATATATGTATATATTTTTTTTAAATACTAGAAAAGAATTTGAAAAATTGGAAAAGTACGTCAAATGAATAAAAAAATGCAAAATACGGCTTTTAAATTTTGCCAAAATTGTTCCTAATAAGAAATTGATGATCAACTTAACGGGTTTTATATTCAAACAAAATCTAAACAAGTGTACTTACAATACTTGTAGGCTGGATAAATCTTTAAATGCGCCTTCAGCAATGTACGAAACAGTATTGTGATTTAATTGTAGTTTCTTAAGCTTTCGTAAAGATGTAAAGGATGACCGCTCGATACGATTAAGTTCGTTATGAGATAAATCCCTAAAACATAAAGATTATATTTTGAAGCCTTCGCTTACGGTATTTTATTTCCATATTTTTTTGTATGTATTTTTATTTCCATATATTCCATTAATATTGAAACAACGAATTTGAAATCACTTTAACAAACTTTTGTTATATCAACTGCATTTTATCTAATATATAAAGTATAATCACTTTCGATTAAACTCAAATCAACAGCCAACTTACTTTATATTATGCAATGTAAAATCATTATGTACAACACATATTATATTATATGTGATTTAAAATAGAACTTAAGCCATGATAATTATTTAATGATGGAACTATCTTATTAACAACGTAACTAAATAGTAATTATTTATGTATATAGCTATGTTCAGCCTAATATCTTACAATTCTGTAATGTTCTGACACATCTTCCAGGCTTGCGGTTCGATGATGCTTATTCGATTATGCGAAAGGGTAAAGATTTGGAGATATTCAAGCCCGAAAAGCCCTCCCTTGGACACAATTTTGAGTTGATTGAAGTCCAGTTGCAATTCCGTGAGGTTGCTCAATGGCCAAAATGCCCCATCTTTCAGTGTTTCAATCTTGTTTCTTTTCAGTCGTAGTTTCTTCAAACTTTTTAGCTCTTTGAAGGTTAACGCATCGATTTGACGAAATTCATTTCGATTTACGTCCCTATTATGTGAATAAATACACACACACACATTTATATATATATATATATATATATAAATATAATTATTATTCCAGATATCTCAAATTTCTTTATTAAAAATTTTTTTCTTTTCTTTAATATTTTTTATTTGTTTTTTATTTATTTTGTTTTATTTTTTATTTTATTTTGTTATTTTTCAAATAATTGAAAAATTAAAGTTGTTATGAAAAATCCTGAAGTATCTCTAATTACGATGACATATTTATGAAATACAAATCCGTGTGATTGTAAGTTTTTACGTGTTAGTATCTTATTATACTTAGTATTATTTATATGATATATTATATTATATAGTTAGTATATTACATCTAACATGCCGTTAGATACTTACAAAACACGCAGCTTGTCAAGTTTCTTGAGATAATCTTTAAAAGCAACCAGTCGATTTTTGCTTAATCGAAGCTCTTGCAGCGATGTTAAATTTTCAAAGCTGTTAGCTTCGATGAGGTTGATCTGATTAGAATTTAAATTCCTGATGACGAAAGAGAAGATATGTAATAAAAAATAATTAAAGAGACGCAACATAAAAAAATTAATACATACAAGATTTTCAGTTTTGGTGCCAGAAATAAGCCTTTTTGTATAGAATTAATCTTATTGCCACTGAGATCCAAATTCTGAAGCTCTGGGTAGTGGGTAAGGGCAGTTTTGCTAATTGTATTTATCATATTATGAGATCTGCAATATATAAACAATAAATAACAGTCACATATACTTTTCATAATGACGAATTAAGGTCACATAGGATGAATATTTCTTAGTTTGCTTCATAATTAATGTAGATTTCTCTCAACAGCTAATATATTAGTTACTTCATCAATAATTTAAAATGTAGTTATGATTATAAGATTAATTATTATAAAAAAATTATCAAAAATATTTAACACAGTTTAATATTAATTAATATAATATTTTTAATATTAACATTACTAATATAGTATTTTTATTAATATTAATATTAATAATATAATAACTTTTAATATTAAAATAAACAATTATTATTGTAAATATTATTTGTCAAATATGTTACAAAAATAAAGAAAAAAATAAAATGTAATATTTTAATGTTTTACAAAGCTTTGAACTCTGCACATATTATACTTAATGAATTTTAAATATTTTACATGTTTTTTTATTCAAAACTTTGGATAGCTTTTTATAACAGATTAACTATTCTTTTGAATGAACAAACAGACATTAAATAATTGAAATTATTTTTAAATTAAATTTTTAAATAAACATTTACTTACAAAGAAAGGTGTGTCAAGTGCAAAAGTTCCAACTCTGGTATTCGCGTCAATCGGTTTTTATTAATTTTGAGCCATTTAAGTTGTGCTTCCTCTGATAAACTCAATGTGAAATTATCATTGAATACGTTAGAACTTACATCCCTAAGATAGAAATCAAGTTTAATAAACTACATTGTTAAATTCTAATAAAAAAAAAAATAAATAAAATAATATGTATTCTTACAATTCCTTGAGTTTAGGTAGATGAAGCAGTGCGTTAAACTCCAAATTTGCAAGCTTGTTTCCTTTCAAAACACTGTAAGCAAATATTGAAAATATGATTAACGATCTTCTTTACAATCATATATATTGTGCATTTTATGAGAATTCGTATTGTAATTTCCATTTCTTAAAATATTACCATTATCTAGTTTGTGTTATTGTATGCTAATTCTTATATTAATCTATGAAAAATGTATTCCAATAATTTTCCTGGCGAAATAAGAAATTAATTTATATACCATTAATATTTCGATCATTAAGTTCAATATAATAAAGATTGCATTTACGGTTTTAATATTTAAAAATTATAATCTCTTAAAAATTAATATATTGTTGAATATTATTTTCATTATATTACGGTCTTTCAACGACTGGATTACTTTATTCACTACTAATATTAAGGTCCTTCTTTTTTATTATTTTATGATTGTATTATATGATTATAGTATATGATTGTATTATATGATTATAGTATATGATTGAGAGTATGAATTTTGTTGTAATAATAGAAGTGAGGTATTTATAAAGTATTTGGAGAGCATTGCTGATTGTTAAGATCATGAGAAAGGAATCCAATAGAAATAACATCTAATGATTCGATAAAGAAATATTGTAATCCTGAAGCATAAATAGTATTTACATTGACTGTATTTACATTGAGAATACACAAGAATCGACGTTTTTTAAGAAAAAGTATTCCTTGGAAATAATTACCTTACAGAAATTGTTTTAGAAAATAAGATCTTGGATTTTATTTCATGATATGAGCAAAATACCCCCCCCTCCCCCCTGCCACGATACTCTTGAATGGAAAAACCATGCACAATCTATGTATGGGTAATAAAAAAAGAAATAAATAAATAAAAATAAAAAAAAGAAACATGAAATGTGCGAGTCGACGACCCGTAATGCAGCTTTGAAAAGTTATAAGAAATATTCGGCAAGGACGCAGTCATCTCTTAAGGGGAAGAAGTCCCGGTGCGCGTGCGCGTCCCTTTTTGTGGACGTGTGTATTGGGCTGTAGAACAGAAAGAAACTCGAGCGGCTCGGCAAGGGCGAAACCGGTGGATGAGTCAAGGCTCTCAGCGGATGGATGGGGTGGGAAGGGGGCGGTAAGGGGAAAGGCAAGCTCGACTCTTGTCTTGTCCTTTTCCAAACTCGGAAGGAGTCCCCGTGGGAAACTCCGCGACTCGCACAAGTGTAGTTAACAGCCAGTGAATTTATCTCTATTTGGGTTTGACTTGGTTGCGCCTGTCTTTTAGCGTCCGATGTTCATGTGCATGTATAGCATATTTCACGTTACAAACAATTATCGTATTACAAGTATCGTAAACAATTATTCGAGGATACTTCGGTAGTTTGGATGTTTTGTATGCATGGTAGGGTAGGAAAGGTCGATGGAGTATTTGACTTTGACTTTCATTTCGCGCGTTGTATTCTATTCTGTTAAGTATTGTTTTCCCATGCACTCTTCATAAATATTTGCTATAGTTAAATAACTAAGATTAGTTACTAGAATCATTGTTTAAAGAATCATAAGCGCTTGGAATGAAATATCATCATAATCTCCTTATTAGTTGTCGAGCGAAGCTTTCAACAATTACATTCAAATACGCCAGTTATCGGCAATTACACTAGCAGTGTTTTTATTTAAATAGAATGATAATTAACGTTATTCGATATACAATAAATGTAATGTAAAGAAGTAAAAATGTCCCCACGGTCGTTCCATTTTGTTTTCTAACTAATGACACATCAACCATGATTCTTGCATCCGCTCCCTCCTAACCTCGGCCATTATTTCCTTTTCCATGAGCTTACGAGCTCGATTTTCACTCTGCGGCGCACGGGTCTGTAAGCCGACAAATGGATTTCATTGTACATGCAACGGAAATGTTATTTACAGAGCTGAGCAAATACTACCGGGTCTCTTGCTATTTTGCCAATTGCAAGAATTGTTTGCATTTTAATTACTGTAATAATTTCGCAACTTTTGACAAGTAAGCGCTATATATTGATATAACGTTATTAATATATTATTAATTAATATATTATTAATATAATATAGAGCACGCTTTGTAGGACTTTAATATAGCTTATCGGGCATATGAGATTGAAATTGACATTGAATACATTTATTTTGATCTGAGGTATTTATTTCTTTCTTTAACTTCTAATTTAACCTCAATAACCTACAATTTTCAGTTAGACTTTTAAATTATTAAATTGTTAAATTATTAAAGTGTTATGATTATGCGACACATAAAGATCGCATTATCGCATCGTGAATATAATATTAACGATATTGTATTGTGAAGAAGAAAATTTAACAAATAAAATAAAATTAAAAATAATGATTAAAATAATAAGAAAACATCTTAAAGAAAACAATGCTGTTTTTAAAAAGTTATAAAATAATTTTCTCCACGGTTATGCACCAGCTACAAAAATTGAAAACGATATTGAACTGATGATGTCATCTTGTTGTACGACTCACTATTCACCGTTTCACCCTCCAAAACAATATCCCCCAAAAATGTTTGATTACATCAACAAGATTATGTATACGTACTTCATGCTATTATACTCATTTGTTATTTTTTTTAATCAATACACTTTAATTTATTATAAGAATATGAAATACAATAACAATAAGATATTCAATCTTGTTGAAAATTTACATGACTCATTTTTCTTGACATACCGTAAAATAAAGGAATAAAGTTCCTTATTTTTTATATACCTATTCAGTAATGGTTTGTTCGCTTTGCTAATTACAATTGAATGGATGATACCGAATATAATAGATACTCTACTCCAATCTTTAATTCATTTACATATATCCAAATTTTTTTCTAATACCAAAACTAACGAGGACCATATGTTTAAATATATAGATAAGTACTTAAAATATCCTCCCTACCCTCTAGCACTGTATCAAGAATCAAATCGAATCAAAGAACAATCAAAGCGAGAAAAGTCTAGTTTATTTATTTTACAAAATAGAAAGTTGTAAGCCATTAATATAATTAGCGTCGAGATTTAAAAAAAAGTAGTGGCAAGCACGAATCTTCGTGATTCGTGCTCTCTCTCTCTCTCTCTCTCTCTCTCTCCCTCTTAATTGTTAATACGCCCACTAATTGACCTGGTCCTCCCACCAAACCCACAATGAGACAACGAACCTGGCACTCACTACCAGAAGATCGCTCTTTACTTCTTCTTCTCCTTCTGCATCTCCATCCTTTTTGTTCATTCTCAACCGTCGAATTTTGTGTAAGGCAGTCGTTTATCACTTACATACGATTAATATAAAACGTGGGGAAGCATTACGGCGTAATACTTCATGCAAGATATGTTTCGACTAAATAACTTTTTCTAAACAAAGAATTTGCAAAAATAAGATTGAACTTTTTCTTTGAATGTGAGCACATGAAGATGATACTACACTTGTTTTTGTTTTTAAACGAAACATAGCTTCCATAAATGCAGGTAACTTTCATTAAAACTTTTATGAAATTCATTTATTTCTTCAAAAGAAGCCTAATTCCTATTCTGTATTACGATAGTTTTAATTATATCGTCAATCATTGGACAGCCACGCTCAAACTGTCGATTCCGTTTTAGCTTGGATTTTCATAAAAATGGACACAAAATTAGTATTCACTTGCGTATGAAAATTTATTTAAAAAATTCAAATTTTCTAACAATAAATTTGAGGAAAATGTGATTTCAAATACAAATACATATAATTATACAATATTTGTTATTTCTGTAAATATATACATCTGGTAATGTGTCAAATTAAAAAACCAGTTTCCATTATTTTTTAACAATTACAACTAAATATTTAAAAATATATTAACATTCATGTTGTATTCAAGAAATTCCACCATGTATAAATATCATTTTATAATAATAATTAATTTTAATTAAAATTTTTATTTAATATATTAGCGTGTATGTGTGTATGTGTTCAGAAGGATTTCAAATATATTTTATCTTTGAAGATATTCCAGCGTTGTAATGAAAGTCACGCGGTAACCGAGGTATTTTCAATTATTATATTAATAAGACAGACGATGTCAAACAATTATTATTGCTTAAATAATGAATTTAAAAACAATTTAAGCTATATAATTACCAATCAAATGAACATAAAAATTTGGAATACGATGTCGTGTAATATATTTTATCTAGTATATTAGTAACGCAATGGCCATGAGGGTGACTGACGATGATCTATAAAAATTTTATCGATATAATGATACACTGATTTAGTACTATTACAATGCTAACATCATGATTTTGTAGTAAAACCAAAACGCAAAATATATTCTACAGAATAACAATATTGTGCCTAGTGCAAATAACAAACTAATATAATAAAAATAATTAAGATTAATAGAATTTTAACAGATTTAACGATAAAAATATATGTTATAGTAACAGTAAAATTGACGTTTTATTAGTAATTCTCTGTAATTGTAAGCTGTTCAGTGAACTATATTATCATTTAGCATTATTAATGCGAAATGTATTAAATAATGATCTAATACATAATGACGTCAGCGTGCTTAATTTCTTTAACCAATATTATACGGCTGACTACTGAAAAAAGACGTCCTTTCTACGAATTTTTTATTTAATTTAAGCACATAAAATTTGCAGTCACAATTGTTATTACACTTTATAGGAAATTATAGTTATTGAATTAAACATTTTAAAACAAAGCTACAGATTAAAAAAATAAAGAAAAATTACAATAATAACACGAAAAAAATATATATAATCCAGACTATGTAGAAAGATATTTGTGATTGGAATATGTTAAATCCATTGAATTTGTTAAATGATACATACTTTGCAAAGAAAATATATTTAGTTATATTTTCTTTATATTTACGTATACATTTCAAACAAACATTTTTTTTCTCATCCATCAATACCAATTTTTTACAAAAAATTTTTACTCAAGCGGCAAATGCAATTAAATAAACAAAATAGTAAATGCAAGTGCAAAAGCAGCTTATGAAA